GACTGTCACTGTCTGTCCTCAGATGCACATTAGACAGTCACTTGGCTACAAGTCTCTGTGGGTATAGCTTGCCCCTCCCCAGGAAAGCATGGCAGCCATTTCTTCCTGCCCACCTGCCTGCCCGCGTCCACACCTCCCCTTTTTCCTCCATCAGGCAGGCGCTTGGCAAAATCCCTGGCTTCATTCCTAAGTGTCGGCTCTTCTATCTCCCCTGGGGCATCTGTGAGGTAGATTCCCCAGTCTGGCTAAGGCTGCCCCATCCTCAGAGCTCATGATGAGACAGCCATGTGCCTAAACACTTATTCAGAACTCCCGCGTTCTGAGCTCGCCCAGCCACCTAGGTCAGGTGTCTCTGGGGCACCTTGGAGGTATTTCTCAGTCTTCATAATCTTATTTGAATGGATTTTGTCCAGAAATGGTATCTTACATTATCAGGAAATGATATAACCTTTCACCCTGGGCTGGTTTTTCTCAGTGCTGGGCTTGACAGCTAGCTGATCATTTCAAAACAGGCACCTCAAAGCCAAAAGATGGTAATATAATTAGTATTCTATACTTCTACTCAAGTTCTCGAATTACAGAACAGACTTGCATTCTGAAACAGCCGATACCATGGCCCAGACCTATGTCTTCCGCAGATGTGTCCTCCTCACAGAGGCTGCAGAATGCAAGGGAAAAGCATTCCTGCCGCGTGTCCCACCGTGGGGCCCCGGGCCCGTTTGGGCAGACCCTGGGGAGCACAGTCTGCGCTGCCGCAGCTGAGGGAGCGAGGGACATGTGTGGCTTCTATGCCGCTGCGTTTAGATACCGTCTGCCTTGCAGAACTTGAGCTGGCCCGCTAGAGCTTTACCCCCCGCCAAACAGTCTCATTCTCGATAGTGTATCAAAGTAGCATGATTTTTGTTCCATCTTAATTCTGTGGGTCAAAACAGTTAGGTTCTTGCAGAAGGTGAGAGACAAGGAGTGAGCCATGGGACCTGTGCTGGGTCTGTTCCTGGACCTACTGGTCCTTTTAGACTGGAAATATTCCAGGCCTTTAATGCCTCGGAATTATCATTCCTGCCAACACACTTCCCACGTGTGGGGCAGGGCCACTGATGGTCTGTGACTTTTGGTCATACTTGAGATGATTTCTGAAGGTACTGAGCTGACGTTAAAAAGCATTAAATTACACGGTGAGAAAGTTATTTCCTTTTCAATTTTCTTTCAGTCTTGGTTGTAACATAGAGAAAGACTCTATCTGGGGCTGGAATATCCTTAACACTGTAAGGCTTGTTAATTTCCCCTTTGTAACTAAGAGAGAGAAGGCCTCAGGCAACCTTAGCAGCTGGAAATAAGGAACACTGTTAGATTTTCATTGCGTTTATTTCGATTTATGGCAGACCATCTTGGTTTTCCATTTACCATCGTGATAAATTTTTCAATGTTGTGTGTTAAAATGTGAGTAAATTTTTTTTCAAAAATGTGAATAATAGTCTAAGTCCTCAAATGACACCACTGATGCTGGTCCAGGGACCACACTTTGAGAATGATTGCCAGGTATACTGAATGCCTTCGCATGGTACTCACCTGGGAAGCTTACAAGATGCTAATGCCTGGGCCTCGGCCTGGACCAATTAAATCAGACTCCCTGGGGGTGGGGCCTAGGCATCTGTATTTGACTAAAACATCCAGGTGTTTGCAGTGCGCAGCTGAGGTGGGGAACCACTGCCCTGGTGTACCCATCCCCGTTGCTACCTATGCGAGGGCGGCAACCTCACCACCCTCTGACCCCACATCTTCATTGCATCTTTCCCTTCTTGCTCTCGCCTGCCTCGAGCCCTTCTTTTCACCGAGCCACCACTTATTTTGCTCTTCTCTTTCCTAGCTTCCCCTCTCCCAGCTTCCCTACACCTGCTCCTGTTAGTAACATCCTCCAGCACGGCTTCTTAGCTTAAGACTTTGCAGCACATTTAAGACGCAGTTGCAACCAGCTTAGAAAATTTCCACATCGTATTGTTCTTCCTGTCGCTTGCTTGCCAGTTCATAAGCTGTCAGTCCAGTTCTGAACATCTAAGCCTTTGGGATTGCATTCTCTGCCAGTAACTTGTATTAACAACACTGATAATAATCGTTATTCAGCTCTTACTGTGCTCCTATCACTGTTCCAAGCACTTGACGTGTATGAACCTATATAATCCTCAAAGGGAGAGACGATTTTCCAGATGAACATGTTAATGGAGTCACAGAAGGTTAAATATCTTGCCCAGGGTGATACAACCGCGAAGTGGCACAGCCAGAGTTCAAACACAGGCAGCCTGGCCCCAGAGCCCACGTTCTGGGCAGATGGGACCCCTAGTTGGTTGTTCCCAGTCCTGATTCAGGTGCCCTGGCACGCGATGAGTTGCACATGAGGTAGGCTGTTCTCCGCTGCAGTAAGAAATTGAAATTTGGACCCGCTGTCTGCTTCACTGACGTTTGGAATTGATAACTTTATTTTCGACTTAAATGATAGTATCTCAGGAGGGAGCCCACAGCTCCATCACGGTTTTAACTCATCGCCATTCAGAAGAGATCAGCCTTAAATGATTTTGTGTGCTGGCTGTCAGAACTATAAATTAAAGATGAGAAAGCCAGCACCCACAATCATTCTGCAACTGGCAGAACTCTTGGCAGCCTAGATGGTTCCTCATTAGTTTATCTGGGATGGAGCCTCAGTGTTAGACATTCCGGAACTTTCTCTGCCTTTTAAAAAGTATGTGATTCTCATTTCAGTGCTTAATTGGAGAGAGACCTTTGGCTCATTTCCATTCCTTGTGGGAGAGTTCCATTTTTATGCTCAAATTTTTCATCTTTTGTGATACTTGTGTTGCTGTTTTAGGAAACTAGACCTTCTGCGTTGTGTTAAAAACCTTCTGCCTGAGCTTGGGGGAATTCTAAGGCGGCCAGGTCCCCTGGAGACCTACCTTATTGAAGATTTTGAAACTGGGTGTTGTGGATGAGTTTGAAATACTGTGTCTGGGGCATAGTAGGTACTCACATCGTGGAATCTTTTTTTTTCTCTCCATCTTCCAAGCCACTAACTGTATGTCATTATACATTATATACATTATTTCATTTAATTCTTCCCAACAATCCTATACCGCTGGAAATATGCCCCTGTTCATTTTTCTGGATGAAGAAACAGGTTCATGAACTGAAGTTTCTTGGTGCTTGAGGTTACATGGTGAAGGAGGCAGGGTTTGAAAGCAGGTCTGCTGAGCTGCAGAGCCCCTGCATGCTTGCTTGTTTATGTTCTATCCACTTACAGCTGGATGAGGTTAGATATTGTCTTACGGGACAAATCCTTGGAAGGCATAAGCGGAGTATGAGGAACGTATACTCAGCTCCTCCATGGCTAGTAGACCTGAGCCAGCCCACTCCCCCCTCAGACCATTTGAATATGGTCCCATCGGTCACCTTCCTGTGCTGAGGCTTCCAGGCAAGGAGGATGTAAGGCTTTTGGCCAGCAGGCATCCACACTCAATGTGTCCCCAGACTGGTATGGGCAATGCTTGGCTGAGACTCCTGCTCTTAGAGCTGCACCCCCCTCATTTATGCCCAAAGACTCAACATCTTTAGCATCCTTCCATTCCCCTCCTCTATCCCTGCCCAGTGCCCATGCCAGCACCTTAAATTCTAAAATCCTTTATTTAATGATCAAACTATGCTGAGGATCTATACTAATAGGTTAGAGCCCTTGTTCTCCAACTTTGTTGTGCATCAGATTCACCTGGGGGCTTGGCAAACATCACTGGACCCGCCCTGAGTTCTGACTCAGTCGGTACTGCTGATGCTGCTGGTCCAGGGGCCACACTGAGAGCCACTGGGCTAGAGAGCCCAGTCCCAGTTAGATGTGTACCCATGGTGTCTGGCTAGTTAAGGACCCTGACGATGGGAAAGTTCAGCAACATTAGGGAAGATGCCGTTGGAAGATGGCGAGGAAGACATTTGGGGAAGGCAGGCTCAGGCCTTAGTCCCTTCTCATCACAGTGATGGATAAGGGCCTGTTTCATTGGCATGCAGGGGCGTTAGCCACTCCCACTATAATAAGCCTCTACCAGCTGCATCTCTGAGCATGCCTCCCTTTGCGAGTGAAATGGCCTTTCCTCCCAGTTATTTTAGACTCCCATATGGGTACTTCTCAATCTAGAATGTGCTTTGGAGTCGCCTGGGGGTCTTGTTAAAGTGAGGATTCTGAGTTTGTAATTTTGGGGTGGGGCCTGTGATTCTGTGTGTCTAATGAGCTCCCAGATGATGTCCCAGGTGCTGCTGGTCCCTGGACCTGCACATTGCGTAGCAAGGCTGTAGCACACCTGTGGAGCATATTCTGAATTACAGCTGTAGACACCAATGGCTCTTGCCCCTGCTGCACAATAGAATCACCTGGGGAGCTTTTAAAAACCAATACTTGGGCTACCCCCCTCAGAGATTCTAATTTCTGAGCATTGGCATTTTCAAACCCCTTCCCAAGCGATTCCAATGTTTCCAGGTTGGAAATCACTGGCCTTTACAAAGAAAAGAGCTGGCTCTTTCTAGGAGCTCAAGTGCATGTGCAATGCCATGGACTAGGTCAGCTGGTTGCTTGGGGTGGGTGTGGGGGGGTGCTCCAGTTCACCTGGAGAAGGGCTGCAAACGGCACCTGGGGATCCCGTTAAAATGCAGATTCTGCTTCAGCAGTCTTGGGGTAGGACTCAGGTTTCTGCATTTCTAACAGACACCCAGGTGTCACAGATGCTGCTGGGCCAGGCTGATGCTGAGTCTCAAGGCTCGACCACACGATGCCCTTTGTCTCTGGCAGGAGTGGCAGCGGGTAGCTTTTCTCATGTTGAGGGTCAGAGGCTTTTGGTCCTCACCTCCCCTCCCCTCAAGCACCATCCTGACATCCCTTCCATTCAGCTCAGTATTGACGCAGGACACTGGACAGTATGGGTCAGTTCTCTTTTTGTAACGTTTGATCTTTTTTCCTTCTCTCTTCACAGTACGAGATGCAAAAAATCTAATTCCTATGGATCCAAATGGGCTTTCAGATCCTTACGTGAAGCTGAAACTTATTCCTGATCCCAAGAATGAAAGCAAACAGAAAACCAAAACCATCCGCTCCACGCTAAACCCCCAGTGGAATGAGTCCTTTACCTTGTAAGTTGTGTCTTCTCTTCTTGATTGAATTCCCTCCCTCCACAGCACCTAACTGCCCACCTCGTTATTAGAGATCATAAGGTGGGTTTGTTATAAACGTCTTTAAACGTTTCTTCATTCCTAAGATTTTCTCAAGACTGCTGGTAGGGAGGTGGCTGTTGTCAGCCCTGTTTGGTAGATAGTAATTTGTTGTACCAAGAATTACCTAATGCAGGCCCCAAATTATTATCAAGACCTACTCTGGACAAAAAATTCTCTTACATTACAGATGACATAAAAATATATAAAGTGTGTCTCACCTCTTAATGGACTTAGGTTCTTTTGAGGGTTGTGGGAGAGTAAGGTAACAATTTAAATCATAATTTTTAAAACACGGAATAAGTGAGTATCATGGAAGATGCTGTTGCCACTGAAATGGGAATATTTATCACCTTTAAACAGAGAAGACTTCCTGGAGGAGGTGACATTTAGAGTGGAACTTGAAGCAGTGCCAGGATTTCAGAGGTAGAGATGGTAGAAGGGAAAGAAGGAAGGAGGCAATGGGAGGAGGCAGTAGCATAAACCAGTGGTGGGAAAGCACTGAGTGCAGCTGAGCACAAGCAAGTGGTCCTCTTCGTAGTCTAGAACACAGGAAGCAGTTTATCTGTGGACAACCAGAAAGGTAGTTCTCTATCGTCTAGCACAGAGCCAGCAAGCTATGTTCTGTAAAGGGCTGGATAGTAAATATTTTAGATTTTATGGGTCATGCAGTCTGTGTTGCAACTACACAACTCTGCTGTTCTGGAGTCAAAGCGGCCATAGACAATATGTAAACAAATGGCCATGGCTGTGTTCCAATAAAACTTTATTTACAAAAACAAGCAGTGGGCCAGATTTGGCCTGTGGGTCTATAGTTTGCTAATCCCTAGTCTAGAGCTTTGGTTGCCAGGGGGCTGGTACTTTGTTGGCAATGGGGAGCCATGGGAAGAGAATTGAATTTTTTTTTTTTGTCTCAGACTCGGATCATTAGCATTAGCATGTGGTATCTCCCTAGAAACTATGAGCAAGATACCAGCATGTGTGTTCTTTTGTAGCAAATTAAAACCTTCAGATAAAGACAGACGACTGTCCGTAGAAATCTGGGACTGGGATCGAACAACAAGGAATGACTTCATGGGATCCCTTTCCTTTGGAGTTTCGGAGCTGATGAAGATGCCAGCCAGTGGATGGTAAGGAAGCCTCTGAGGTTGAATTGTGTTTGTATCAACCAAGAGTTAACCATCTCAAAATGTTAGAGCATTTAGAGATTCAGAGAGAGATTCAGAAAACAAGCTAGTTTAAGTCTGAAATGACCACTGAATATGTAGTTATCTGGCTATAGTCTCCCCACAGGATGCATTTCAGGAGCAGCTGGACTACAGGGTAAGGAAGAGAAGTTGCTAAACCTGTGGTGGTGCAAACACGGTGCTCTTAACTCTCCTTCTCTCCTGTGTCTTTGAAAGGTACAAGTTGCTCAACCAGGAAGAAGGTGAGTACTACAATGTACCCATTCCAGAAGGGGATGAAGAAGGAAACATGGAGCTCAGGCAGAAATTCGAGGTGAGGATACCAACAGAATTACTGGAACCGCCTTTCCTTTAGAAAACTTAACTTCAGGAAGAGCCAGATTTTTGTGGTCACACTGCTGAAAGGCAAAAAGTAATTTAAATGTTAATCTTTTCTGCATTTTAAAAGATAAACGCTGTGTAATCACCTTCCTTTCCAAGCTTTTGACATTCTATGTCCGGGATCGTTTAGAGAATGGACGTTGGAAATATCCCAGAAACGAGCGTGGTTGATTTCTGCTAAGAAATTGGTCTGCACAGGCAGACCAGTTCTGAGTGCAGGCAAAGTTCTGAGTGCAGTGTTCTCGTTAGAAGAAGGGCTATGCTCCTTCAAAAGGGAGGATGTCATTTTGGCCTTAACTTGGGAGCTCATTTTGGTGTAATTAAGCTATCATGCTGGCATCTTAATTTTTGCTCTATGTCTTTAGAAAAGGACAGCTCTTTGTCTTCTTCCCCTTGGGTGTCTGTGTTTGCCTCCTGTCTCAGGTTTTGTCTTCTTTCTCCCTCCTTTTTCTCTTCTCCCTCTCTTCTCCTCACTTCCCGCTTCTCCTCTCTATCCCTCCTTCTCTTTACTTATCAGACATCTCAGCTTTTAATGAACATTCATTTCTCTAAGCACTTGCCTTATGTTCCAAGTGACAACTTTAATTTTTTTCTATTTCTCTAATCACCTGCGTTTTGGCTATTTGAGCGATTCATGTAGTAGCCGATTCAGTCTGTGTAACTGATTAATTCCTTTTTGAATCTTTCTTTTCCTCAGGCTAATTAGGATTCCCTGGGATTCCCCCACCCTAAAGAAATAAACATGTACGCACACATAGGTGCATGTAGACATAGTCAGTAACTGAACTGTTACGACTTGTTGCCGCTAATGGGATACAGATGGTCTTATTTTTCTCTTTCTGTTGTTCCCGTCTCCCAAATAAAACTTTGTCCCAAAGAAACATACAGGTAATATCCAGATAGAATGAATTCCAAAGGATGTAACATCTAAAAATGTTCAAAATGTTTTCTTATGCTGATATTTGGTTAAAGTGGATGTTGATGGCAAATACTTAAGGTCGGGGGCTGCAAGTCTTGGTGCCCTCAGGAGCATAGGTAAGTGAAATGAGTCACAAATAATATAAACGGCAACTAACAGCAGGCCACAGAGTCGAAGAGACAGTAGGGAACAGTGGGGACTAGAGTGAGCTGGTTAACACAGGCCCTGTCTAAAGTTGGCAGCCACTGCTACTCAGCACCAGTTGATAATTGCCGTGCATGAATGGGGGTCCCATGCTGTCATATCTTCCAGTTCTTCAAGAAAAGCCAAAAATCCAGATTTTTATATGACATTCTGATTACTTTTAATTTTGGCAGCTAATTAAAACTTAGAACTCTGTGTAGGTCAAATACACATCTATTGTTTTAGACACAGGTAGGGTTCAGCCAGTGGGTATCAGCTTACAATCTCTGCTCATACATATATGAGAATAATGAAGTTCTTTCCAAAGAAGCCAGGCACAGCTCTTTTTCTATTTGTTTTTTTCTTCACTTGCTTCATTATCTATTCGCACCTCCACCCCGCAGCTGAGGACAGGAGACTGGAATACTGGAGAGGAAGGCTTCTTCCTTGAGCCCCATCCCCAGTGTCACACCACCCCTGTGAGGGATGAATCCTTCTGGAGAGAGTTTCAGGACACTGAGCCCCAGCATTACTCAGATGTCGCCGGCAGGGGAGAGACCAGAGGAGCTAAAGAGAACCTTAACTGCATTTCACGCCATAGTGTAGGTCATCAACAGTCAATGGGTCAGGAGCTGCTGGTAGAGAACGCATCTGAGGGACAACGGTGTTGGGGCATCATGATGGTGTCACTCTTGGGAATGTCTGAGACTTAGCTTGGCTGGGGAGAAATATTGACTCACTTGTTATGCTTCATTTCCACGGCTTCTTAGTGAGTGACCTTCCTGTTTTTCTGGACAGTGAGTCCAGCTTTTTATAAAGGTCAGAGTTCCAAACTCAAAAAAAAAAAAAAAAACCAGGCCACAGGGCTTGAGGCCAGAAGTGCAGCATTTCTCTCTAGAGGCTGGTTAGAGGACATCTGTGTGTCGTGCTGGTTACTGTTCTTCTGTTTGGGAGAGCTGTGGACTTTGCAGTGGAGCACTAGTCCAAGGGCAAGTGGCGTCAGAGGGGAGAGTTCTGGGCTCAGAGCTCCCGCATGAATTACCTTCCAGCTTTTTTTTGAAACATCTTTCGTCTTGCATTTCCTAGATGTTACTGGAATTATATTAGCTCGTTTCCTTAGAGCATTTGTAAAACACACTGCAAGAGAAACACTCCGCGGAAAACCACTACGTGATGGTGTCGAGAAGATGCTGAGAATTTGATGACAACTGTCGTGCTGCATTTTACCTTTTTTTTTTTTTTTTTTTTGTGAGGATGATCAGCCCTGAGCTAACATCCGTGCTAATCCTCCTCTTTTTGCTGAGGAAGACCGGCTCTGAGCTAACATCTATTGCCAATCCTCCTCTTTTTTTTTTTTTTCCCCCAAAGCCCCAGTAGATAGTTGTACATTATAGTTGCACATCCTTCTAGTTGCTGTATGTGGGACGCGGCCTCAGCATGGCCGGGGAAGCAGTGCGTTGGGTGCACGCCCGGGATCGAACCCGGGCCGCCAGCAGCGGAGCGCGCGCACTTACCCGCTAAGCCACAGGGCCAGCCCCTCGTGCTGCATTTTAAATGGAATGTTCAGATCTGCTTTTAGGCAGGGGTTCAGTCATATAATGGTGTCACGCTGAGGTCTATAAATGTGAAAGTTGCACCATTTCCCCAGTGCTAAACTGTTGGGAAGCAATGTGCCAGGCCCCACAGGTCGTGTCCATTTGAGCAGTTCTGGGTGCCAGCCAGCCTTCCCAAATGGGGTGCCAGTTGGCATCAGAGTACCATTTGGGGAACTTCCTTTAAGCCCACCCATTTCTCCTTCTCAGTCCCCAGCCACAGCATGGTTGCTTCCCGGTATCTGCAGACCCTTCTTTATACCCTTTCTCTCCATGTCATTGCCATTCCAACTGGCTTTCCATCATGTCAGTCCTTTCCCCACCCACTCTTTCATAGATATTTTCCCACCCTTTGGTAACAGTTTGATTCAGCTGAGTACTTTTTTTTTTTTAATTTAACGTTCAGTGGTGGGTCATGACTGGATGATACACAAAATGATGGTCCTTTTAGGAACAGGCATTACTCAGTGGGATCGTACAACATCTAGTCTGTAGGGTTTTTCTTTCTGTGTCTAGCTCTGTTTTCTAGAAAGTGTTAACTTAGTGTGGTTTTCGGATCCTTACCCAGAAATCAGAAGTCATTCAGTCTGATGGAAGAAAAATCAAAGCAAATGAGCATTTACAACTCTGCCACTGCATTAGTATTCATCTGACAGTAACATGGGAAAAATTTCAAATTTATCGTTGATTCTAGAATCTTGGAAAACAGAACTATCAGTGAGTGAAGCTCTTAGGAGCCAAGGAAAATCCTAGATGGTTGGAAATGACCTTACTCTAAAATGCATTGTCCCACTAGAGCAGTTCATCTGACCAAAAAACACAACAAACCAGCACCTTGACCGCAATATTCACAGACAGGGCATCTGTGGGCCTTTAACCTGTCCCATGTTCATCTTCAAATAAAGCACAGGGTCTTTGATTCACAAGCATAAATTGTATATTTGTTCATTTGTTCATTTGTTCAATAATCAGGTTCCAGCAATGAATAAAGCAAACAGACCCTCCTCTCTGTGGAGCTTATGTTCTGTACCTGTGGGCCTTGCTTCGGTTCTTTTTGGAAATGAGGCAGGAAGCTTATTGAGAAATAAACATATTGTAACCCCCCATGCTGGTCGTTAGTTCCCCGCCCTCTAGTTGCTGTTGAGGACAATGGGGATTCCTGTTCCTTCTCTGGTTTCTGAGCCCTGGCTCCCCATGATGAAGCTCATGGCCAGAGTGGGGAAGAAGGTCTGCCTTCCCTTAGAGGTGGTCCAGAGGATGGGTTAGCCCTTGCTCAGCACCCTTTCTGTAAAGGGTCACATGATAAATACTTTACGCTTTGCATGCTGTAGGGTCTCTGTCACAACCACTCACCTCTGCCCTTGTAGCGAGAAAGCAGACGACGTGTAAAGAAATGGAAGTGGTTGTGTTCTAATAAAACATTGTTTACAAAAACAGGCGGCAAACCAGATTGGCACATGGGCCCTAGTTTACCAATCCTTGGTTTAGCCCATGGATTATAGAATCAAATCCTGGTTCTGCCGTTTGTTAACCATATGACCTGCCTGTGCGTGTTCCTCACTGTAAATGGGAATAATAGCAGTCTTTACCTAATGGTATTGTTTTAAAGGTTAAGTGGTCAATAGGAAAATCCTAAAAGCATTCTTATTATACGGTTGTTAGCTCTTATCATCATCATCATCATCATTATGTTTCACTGGAAAAACTGGGTTATAGAGAGTTTTTTTTTTTTAAACTTCTGAGCCTTCTCTAAAAAAATATATATGAATTTTCATGTTGAAATCATGCTCTAAATATGGGGATGTTCTGTCCTGTAGTCCAGCCGTATTATGAGATAGAAGCATATTGGTGAGAAGTTTATCACCATTTATAACACTGTTTTTATGGGAAAATATATCCTGATTTACATTTAGATGGATTTCTGGAACATAGTGTGTAAATTGGGAACTTAGGGGAACTGGCAATGGATCAGATGATCTCTGGACAGAACGGTTTCAGTGGCTGTGAGGGGAGTACACAGAGTTTCACGGGGAGGAGCCAGTCTGCACTGACACTTCATGGTGCAGTGGTTTGTTTAGGGTTCATTAGAGACTCAAAAGGGAGCATATCTGAAAGATGTTTGATACAGACCACACCAAGACAAACCCAAGTATAGCCGTAAGGAGAGTGGCAGCTAATGATTCATTAGGTTAACAACAGAAACGGCACAGTTGATTGATTACTGATTCCACTCACATA